GGCAAGTATTTTGGGGTGAGCAATCTTCTGTATGTTATGCTGGGCCTGGTATTGACTATTTTTTAAATTTCTTTTTATTGCATACCATAAACCTTTAGGTTCCTGTATTATCTCATTATGAAGGTGATAGTTTTTGAATATATACTTTTTGGTGCAAAAATTTCAACCTCTGGAGGAGGTACAGTTACTCAGAATGGAAGCAGGAGCAAAATGATAAAGAGCATCTGGAATAACTCAAAGATAATGTACACTAGAGAGTAGAGGGGAAAATCTCTTGTACTTGAGGAACTCTATGAAATTGCATTTAGGGACCCATTTAGCAATCCTACAACTTTTCTAGAAGTGATTTATTACTGATGGTAGAAAGAGTGGTTTATATAAATCTTGTAGGTATTAATAACTGAGTAAAAAATGAGCTTTCTCATGAAACAAACAGTAAGTGGATGATGTAAGTGACAAGAAATGCCATTTGACTTCTGAATTATTTTCATTCATAAGCTCCTTGTTGATGTTGAAACTCTCCAAAAAGTGCTGTATTTTCATCCAGAAATGGAAGTTCCATTTTTGTGGAGCTTGCATAGGGGGCCCTAATTAGTGATTTCAGATAGCTTGTTTACCTCTCTTTTTCCTCTTGTTGATTCATTCACTGCAGTTTTGGGGACTATGTTTCTGATCAAGTTGTTGCACCTGTTCGAGAAACATGTGCTCAAGCATTAGGTGCTGTGCTTAAGTACATGCATCCTAGTTTAGTGTACGAGACACTAAGTATCTTGCTGCAAATGCAGGTAAATATGAAATGAGCTTTGTTTTATTATATAAAAGGAATACGGATTGTAAATTTGCTTAGACTATGGTATGAATTGATAAGTAAAGAATGATATGATTACTCAGAATATGGTTGTGTTCTCACATTTATTTTAATAAGCTCTTTTGCGTTCTTTTCAGCATAGACCGGAGTGGGAGATTCGTCATGGTAGCCTCTTGGGGATCAAGTATCTAGTTGCCGTGCGTAAGGTATCTTTACCCTGTCACATATTGTTCTTCTGATAGAAATATGTCTGAGTATCAACTGCCACTGTGCCTCATTATGCTCCCTGGCTTATTGGATTATAGCTGTTGCTTGTTATTTGAGTATGTCAATTGTTGATTTGAAATTTAAAATGTTGCATGCCTAGATTCAATTTTCATTCTTTTTTACCTACTACAGTTTTCTATTGATATTTGGCTGTTGTCTGTACTGACTTTCTGACAAGGGCCTTAATAAGATGTACTTGTCTTTGGATAGATTCTTAGGGAGAATGGATTTACATATTTCTACAACATGGATTGGCTCTTAGAACTCTTGTGCCCTGCATTTTCTAGGAGCCTTCAAATAATTACTTAATAGTGTATTAGTGTGGAAAGAGTGGACTATTAGCAAAACGATGATTCATACATATTCCTTTTGTGATTTCCATTTTTTAGCTTCTTATTTGATGTAATATTTCAAATTTTAATCTTTGAATTCCACTTAATTGATTGTCTGATTCTTCCCTTGACACCAGGAAATGCTTCATGATTTGCTTTGCTATGTTCTCCCAGCATGTAAAAGTGGGCTTGAGGATGCTGACGATGATGTTCGAGCAGTGTCTGCAGATGCTCTAATACCAACTGCAGCTGATATTGTTTCATTAAAAAGTGAAATATTGCATTCTATTGTTATGCTACTCGGATATTTTACTTGACCTAGATGATTTAAGCCCATCTACTAGCAGGTGTGTGTATGTCTTTAAGCGAGCCATTTCTCATTTATTATAAAATTAAATTGTCATGAATCTTGTGGTATTATTTATTTTCAATCTAATTGCTCAGACAAATATTTTAGCTTTATGGCATTTGGTGATGAACTGATAATTTTCTCTTATAGCTCTTCAGTATACAGTTTTCAACCACAAATTCACTCCATAGTTGTTGATGTTGTTTTCTTCGGTGCCCTTTGTTTGCGTGGGTGTGCCTTTTTAATATTACTTCGACTTATTGTTGAAACTAGCATGCCTTCATAGAAGGTGGACCTATCCGAAAACTGAATAATAATACAATCTGGAATGCCTTCAGAGAGACTATTTTTGTTCTATTGTGTTGCCATCCTTAAAACCTAACATTTATTAGCCTTACTTGTAACATACTATTAAAATTGTTGTAAATTAGTTCCTTTACTATTTCCTACAGTTCTGATACTTCTGATTTTTTTGTCATTTGATTTTGTTCTCCTTACCCGGCAAATTTTGACTCAGCTTGAATAAATGGATTTTATCCTTGTTGCAAAAAGTTGGCTTTGAAGGTTGAATTGTCAAAAGCTTTATTGCTCTAGGTTGAAAAGTGGCGAATTGATGGTAAAAAAATGGACTTTATCTAGCATAGCTTGAGTGAAGCATTCAATCAATTGCAATGTCCTCAGTTTTCTCTTTTACTTATTTCTGAGATCTAAAATTTTTGCTAAGCATAACATTTGGTGAAATGTTATTTTTATGTTCTCTATGGAGTATTTTATCTTCTTGAGTACCATTTTGCCCTTTTTGCTGTTCTACTTCAATAAGAGCTGTGGGCTAATACAAATTTCTGATGTGATATTTATAACAGTTTAATCTGAATGAGTGGAACTCATTTTTCTAATCCCTCTGTGGAATTGCAGTGTAATGAATTTATTGGCGGAAATTTATTCTCAAGAGCGGATGCTTCCAAATGGCTATGGGAACCTGCCATCATTGGAGAAACAAGATCTCAATCTGAATGAAGTTGTTTATCAAAATGACATTGGAGAAGGGTTAAGCTCTTTAGAGAATCCCCATATGCTGTCAACTCTGGCACCAAGATTGTGGCCATTCATGAGACATAGTATCACATCTGTCCGTTATGCAGCCATCCGCACTTTGGTAGACCCTTTCTCAATTGAAGTGTCTTTTATGATGTGCATATACTAGTTCCTTTCATATCTCTCTCACGCACACATATTCTGTTGATTTTTAAAACCATCTTTATTTACCAATATTTACAATATATGTTCTTTTAGTTCAATTGCTCTATATGCTTGGCCAAAATTGAATATTAGTTGTAAAAATCTATATTTTTGGGCAGGAGCGTTTGCTAGAAGCGGGGCGCAAGAGGAGCTTAGGTGAAGCTTCTGGCTCTTTCTGGCCTTCATTTATTCTGGGTGATACCCTCCGGATTGTTTTTCAGAACTTACTGCTTGAATCAAATGAAGAGATTTTGCAGTGCTCGGGTAGAGTTTGGAGGCTTCTTCTCCAGGTTGCTATTCGATGAATGCATATAATACTAGATATTCTAATCACATCTTGCCATAATATGCATTTAGTGTTCTTCTTTAACAAAAGCTTACTATTCATGTGTTTTCTTTATGCACTCTATACCTCATTTTATCTCTGGTGAGCATATTACTTGTATGGAAAGTCTCATCAAATTTTCATGTCAAGCCATGCCTTTCCGCTAGTTCTGACTATTTCTTAGATTTACTTTCTAGTGTTCATGAATTTCTCAATTCCAAACCATTTCAGTGCCCAGTGGATGACTTGACGGATGCTGCAAAGGCATATTTTTCTTTTTGGATAGAATTAGCAACTACTCCTTATGGCTCACCTCTGGATACTACAAAAATGTTTTGGCCAGTGGCTCTTCCTCGTAAAAGTCACTTTAAAGCAGCTGCTAAGATGAGAGCTGTGAAGCCTGAAAGTGACCCCTACAAAAACATTAGCTTTGGTTCAGCAGAAGGTACTAGTTTACAGGAGAAAATGGGGACACTTCCGCCCACATTGGAAAGATAATTGTTGGTGGTGATGTGGACATATCAGTTACCCAAACACGTGTTGTTACTGCCACGGCATTGGGTGTTTTGGCTTCTAAGTTGGATGATTCTTCTCTTCAGTATGTTGTTGACCCATTATGGAATGCACTTGCCTCTTTTTCTGGCGTTCAAAGACAGGTATAGGTCATATATTCTTATTGTAGTGCTTTCTATAAAAATGTCTATGACTATCAATCTGTTTTGTCCTAATTACAGGTATCTTCAATGCTGTTAATTTCATGGTTCAAAGAGTTGAAATTCAAGGACATATCAAAGTCTGAGGGAGTTATTACCGTCATTTCAAGTAATTTTGGGGAAAGGTTGTTAGATTTGTTAGCTTGCACAAACCCTGCATTTCCATCAAAAGATTCAGCTCTTCCATATGCTGAACTTTCTAGGACATATGAGAAAATGCGCAATGAGGCTCGTCAGCTGTACCATGGTACCGAGGCATCTGGAATGTTTAAAGATATATTGTCATCCACTAATCTTGACCTGGAAAGTTTGAGTGCAGATGATGCAGTGAATTTTGCATCTAAACTTTCCTTCTTAAATAATATTACCACTGGGAAGAGTCTGCAGGACGGAGTATTTTGATGAATTAGAGTCTCTGAAACAAAGAGTTTTGACAACTGCTGGATATTTGAAGTGTGTTCAGGTATGATTTAGGTTTCATCTGCCAATGTTCGTTATGTGAATGAATAAGCGAAGTGTTTAACCCCTTTATAAAATGTTTTTTGATTAGTTTAGGAAGTTATTCCTTTACTGCTAGAATGTCCATTTTGGTAGTTTAGACCTTGTTCTGATAAACTAATGGTTTACAATTATGATCTCTAATTTTGTATATCTTGTCCTTCCCTTCCTTCGCCTGACTTGGGGGTTTGGGGGAGGTGGCGGGATTTTTAACAATTGCAGAATAATTTGCATGTTACTGTCTCAGCTTTGCTAGCTGCTGCTGTTGTTTGGATGTCTAACCTTCCGGCTAAACTCAACCCAATTATTTTACCGTTAATGGCATCTATCAAAAGAGAACAGGTAATATTTTCAAGTAAAACCATTCTATTGAGAAACAGTTCGATTTAATGTGGATTTGTATTTTATTAATATTATAGGAGGAAATACTACAAAGTAAGGCAGCTGAAGCTCTGGCAGAGCTAATCTATTGTTGTATGGGCCGTAAACCTGGACCTAATGATAAGTTAATCAAGAACCTTTGTAGTTTGACATGCATGGATCCTTGTGAGACCCCTCAAGCTGGAGTTCTGAATTCTATTGAAAAAATTGAAGAGCAAGGTCTTCTGTCCTTCAGAAGCAGTAATAACAGGCAGAAATCAAAAGTTCATATGCTTTCCCCTGGTGATGATCGATCAAAGGTTGAGGGCTTCATTAGCAGACGAGGAGCTGAGCTTGCTTTGAAATGTTTATGTGAGAAATTTGGTGGTTCGTTGTTTGACAAGCTTCCTAAGCTTTGGGATTGCCTGGTAGAAGTCTTAAAGCCTGGAAATGTTGAGGGTTTGAACCCAGAAGATGAGAAACTTATATCTGAAGCTATAGATTCTGTAACTGATCCTCAAATTTTGATAAATAATATTCAGGTAAATGGACTTCACCTTAATTATTTACTACATGTTTCTTCTGATAAAATTGAAATTACTGAAGTACTATATTTTCAATCCTTGAATCAATTAGCGACCTCATATAATTATGTAGATCTAATATTATACATACATGATTTATTTATATTCAACATTTCCCCAATGTTATGAATTTTTCTGCTCCACGACCATTGAAACTATAACCAGAAATGGAAAAGATGGTGTCTGAAACCTATGCTCTAGTTTGTAGTATGGAGCCAGAAGGGCCCCCCAGTAATATTCGGATACCAAAAGAACTGAAGAATTGTCATGCGAGATATACTTCAAGGGAATCGAAAACCCCTTAGTAACATTTCTCTTAGATGCCAAAATATATAAAGAATTTTCATGTGCACTTAGTTTCTGTGTAGGCAATAGAAGTATCATGCATATATGCATACTTAGGTATAAAGCAGAAAAAACCGTACCATATGCAGATTGAATTGGAGATTGGTATTGCAGTTAGCATTTTACTGTTACCTACAGGTTTATAAAATTATGCTATTTGGATCTTTGATAAATTATATCCATTTCTTGTGCCTCTACTACAAACAAATTCTTGTAATTTCTTCTACATTTCATCTCTTTTTTTAGCTTGGCCTTTCTTTTTATTGGCAGGTGGTCCGTTCCATTGCTCCTTTATTGGATGAGACATTGAGATCGAAACTTCTCACACTCCTTCCATGTATCTTTAGATGTGTTTGCCATCCCTCATGTGGCTGTGAGATTAGCCTGCGTCTAGATGTATCACAACGTTGGCCAAATCTATGGCAGTGAATGTGATGAGTGCAGTAGTTGAAAATGTGGTCCCTATGTTAGGAGATATGACCTCTGTTCATTCTAGACAAGGGGCTGGCATGCTTGTCAACTTGCTAGTTCAGGGACTTGGTGTGGAGCTGGTTCCTTATGCTCCTCTTTTAGTAGTTCCTCTTTTGAGATGCATGAGTGATTCTGATCATTCTGTGAGACAGAGTGTAACACATAGTTTTGCCACACTTGTACCTTTGCTTCCATTAGCACGTGGTGTTGCTCCCCCTGCTGGTCTCAGTGACCGTTTATCCAGGAATCAAGAAGATGTAAAATTTTTGGAGCAACTGGTTGACAACTCACACATTGATGATTACAAGCTCTCAACCGAACTAAAAGTGACTCTTAGAAGGTAGTTTTGTTGTAAATTCTCATTTTAGAAGCTTGCTTCCATTTACTACTCTTATGTTCTGACTAATGATTGCTTCTTATCATTTCAGGTATCAACAGGAAGGTATTAACTGGTTAGCATTTTTGAAGAGATTTAATCTCCATGGCATCTTATGTGATGACATGGGGCTGGGCAAGACCCTTCAGTCATCAGCCATTGTGGCATCTGATATTGCAGAGCATATTGCTGCAAATACTGCTGAGAATCTCCCACCATCTCTTATAATATGTCCATCGACTCTTGTGGTCACTGGGAATATGAGATAGAGAAGTTTATTGATGGTTCTTTAGTAACTACCCTCCAATATGTTGGTTCTGCTCAAGAGCGCACATCTCTTCGGTCTCAATTTAATAGATATAATGTTATTGTTACATCATATGATGTTGTCCGTAAAGATGTTGACTCTCTTAGACAAGTCTTTTGGAACTATTGTATTCTAGATGAGGGACATATCATAAAGAATGCAAAGTCAAAAGTCACTCTTGCTGTGAAACAATTGAAGGCGCAGCACCGTCTCATATTGAGTGGTACTCCTATCCAGGTTTGTTGTCAATGTGAATTTCAGTTGGCATTTAAAATGAATTCTAAGTTTCCATGAGAAATACTTCTGAATATTGCAGAACAATGTACTGGATTTGTGGTCTCTTTTTGACTTCCTCATGCCAGGATTCCTGGGAACAGAGAGACAAGTAAGAATCTTATATTTGCTTACCACTTGTACTCCCTGACTATCAATTGTTATTTGCAAAATTTTTGTTTAATTGTGTTTTCTTCTTCCTGCTCTTCTCGTGTTTGTATATACATCATGAGTAGATGTTGGTGATGAAGAAGTTGGAGAAGTTTGAAAAATGAACGTTAATTAATTCTGTTCCATATTAATTATTTGACTCGTGTGGCTTGACTTTTGCTGACTTGTTTTTACTATAATTCTATCCTGTAACATTCCTCCCCCCTCTTCCCCCTTGTTTGGTAAGCTTGTCTCTGTCATTTCTGACACCAAGTTTATTGATATAACAGTTCCATGCTTCCTATGGAAAACCACTGGTAGCTGCCAGGGATCCCAAATGTTCAGCCAAGGATGCTGAAGCAGGAGCACTTGCAATGGAAGCATTGCATAAGCAGGTGAGTTTAATTCACTTGTGTCTGGATTAATTTCATGGCTATAGAGGTTCTCTCTAAAAGATCTCTTTACAGGTGATGCCTTTCCTTCTTCGCCGAACAAAGGAAGAAGTTTTATCTGATTTGCCAGAGAAGATTATCCAAGACAGATTCTGTGACCTGAGTCCTGTTCAGCTAAAACTTTATGAACAGTTTTCCGGTTCAGATGTTAAGCAAGAAATCTCCAGCATGGTGAAGGTCAATGAATCTGATACTGGACAAGGAAGTGATGCACCCAAAGCATCTACTCATGTTTTCCAGGTAAGGCCATAATGGAGAGTAGTCTTCTGTACCTCAATTACCTCAATTTTTCAGTTGCCTGATACGTGTCGTGTTGATGTTTCAGGCACTCCAGTATTTGTTAAAACTTTGTAGTCATCCTCTTTTAGTGCTTGGCGAAAAAATTTCAGAATCTGTCTCATCAGTTCTATCAGCGTTTCTTCCTAATGGTTCCAATATTGTCTCCGAACTCCATAAACCCCATCACTCTCCTAAACTGGTTGCCCTCCAGGAGATTCTTGAAGAGTGTGGAATTGGGATTGATGCTTCAGGTTCAGACAGCCCTGTTAATGTTGGGCAGCATAGAGTATTGATATTTGCACAGCATAAAGTAACTCTTGCCACTTTCTAATCAGATTTAATGGAATAAAAGTTTCCCTCAATCTTGGTATTTGACTGTGCTCTGCAATGCAGGCTTTTCTGGATATCATTGAGAAGGATTTGTTTCATTCTCAGATGAAGAAGTAAGATTTCTGCTTTTATTTATTTATTTATTTTATTATTATTTTTAATTTTATGAACTAAAATTCTTGAATTCTCCATCTTTTTCAAACCACTGAGAACCAAGAAAGTTTCCATGCAAATACATGACTAATGATTTTCTATGAATTCCACTTTTAAGATCTGTTGTCAGTTTCTAGGTGCAATAGTAAGATCTAATTCTTGTTGAAGTATTTTACCTTTTTTTTGGATAAGTAAATGTATCATTTAAAGACATGGAGGAAGTACCACCCATAATACACAGAAATACTGAAGAGATTAGAGAAACAAAAACAAAGATATGTACTTTCAATTCGTCTCTACATTTTCTAAATGTGCCTTTTATTTTTGGAGCAGTGTCACATATTTGCGGTTGGATGGATCGGTTGAACCAGACAAACGCTTTGAAATTGTGAAAGCCTTTAATTCTGACCCTACAATTGATGTCTTACTCCTTACAACACATGGTAAGTGCATATATTACATTACATGTTTGCCATGAAGTATAGCAGCGTGTGATTCTTTGAAACTTATTAGTGTGAAACTTATTGCAGTTGGTGGGCTTGGTTTGAACCTGACATCGGCTGATACTCTTGTATTTATGGAGCATGACTGGAATCCAATGCGTGATCATCAGGTATAAAAAAAATGACCTGTATGTATATCTTTTAGGCTTTTATCTGAACATGATCCAGTACCTAGGCAGTGAAGGGCAAAGTCTGAACTACCACTACCTTTGTCAAGAAACAAATAAGTTTCTATTCCTGAAAGAGAGGCGCTTATGTGAAATTCATAGATGTCTATGCACTGGCATTGCTTTGCCGACTGATTTTGATGATTGTGTTGTCTCTTTTCCAGGCAATGGACAGAGCTCACAGGTTGGGCCAGAAAAAAGTCGTCCATGTCCATCGACTCATAATGCGAGGAACCTTGGAAGAGAAAGTAATGAGCCTCCAGAGGTTCAAAGTGTCTGTTGCTAATGCTGTGATTAATTCAGAGAATGCTAGTTTGAAGACCATGAATACAGACCAGCTGCTTGATCTCTTTACACCAGCAGATGGCAAAAAGGTTTGCACTTCGTTGAAATTTCAGTTGTATCTGGTCGGTCAGTCAGTCTCATATTTCTTCACCATTCACACTAGTGTTCTATCTGTTTTCAGGCTCCAAATGTATCCCAGAGTAGTGATGACAAATTTGAAGGGGATCCGAAATTGACACGAGGTGGGAAGGGATTAAAAGCCATTCTTGGAGGATTGGAAGAACTTTGGGATCAATCACAGTACAGTGAAGAGTATAATCTGAGCCACTTTTTAGCCAAGCTAAATGGTTGAATCCGACTAGCCCCGCTCTGCGTTTATGTTTTTTATTGGCAGTATGCGAGAGCCAGCCAACAAGGTACACTACTGTCTTCTGTGGCTAATTTGGAGATGAGCACTGTTTTTATCTTCATTCATGCCCCTTGTACAAAGTGTATATTCCTCAGAGTCGTGGCCAAAAATTTTGAAGATTAGTTCTAGTAGTTTGTTTCTTTAAATTTTTTTTCCTTCTCGACATGCAATCAATCAGTCAATCAAATTTTGAGGCTGCTAACGTAGAAATGTCCATGATTTGGAGAGAGCACATTGTGGTTTAGTTGGAGCAGGCAGACACATAGGGGAGGGAATTTTGTAAATTTTTTGAATTCTATCTTGTATATACATTGAGGAGTTTAATTTTATCTTTTTTAAAAAAGGGAAAAAAAAAAAAAAAGCAAAATTGTCTTGATATGAAGCTTGCTGAAACGATTTGTTTTTGTTGCCACTCTTTAATGGTCCTTTTTTCCCCTCTCTCTAAGCATTGAATTTTAGTTAAGTTTAGTTTAGTTTTTATTTTTATTTTTTTATAAATAAAATTTAAGCGTAAGACTGTAAGAGCATAAAATGAGAAGGATGGTCAAAGTAAGATGTATACTTGAAAAAAATATAAACTCTTAAACTTAAATGTTCATATAAAACATATAAGAAAAATGGTCAAAGTAGTATTTACCGTAAATAGAGAATGACTTTTGCTATTGCTTATCCAAGCATAGAGAATGACTTTTGCTATTGCGCATAGAAAAATACTAATGTCTTCTCAAGTCTCCATTATATTATTGAAGGTGCCAATATAATGCTTTCCAATTTACTACAGTAATAATATATTTTGATGGAAATGTATAATGCTTTCCAATCTACTTAGGGGGTGTATTCAATCATGACTTTTGTAGAGTTTTAAAAACTTTTATGAACTTTAAAAGTTTAGAGGTATTCAATTTAAACTTTTGGAGAGTCTTTAAAAGTTAGGCGGTATTCAATCAAGATTTTTGAAGAGTCTTTAAAAGTCATGTGGTATTCGATTAAGACTTTTAAAGAGTCTTTAAAAGTCATGTGGTATTCAAAAAGATGAACTTTTGTAGACTTTTTAATTTTAGGACTTTTGTAGACTTTTCCTTCTCAAATATACATAGTTGAAATTCAACCATCAACCCCAAGATTTTAAAATTGTTCTTTCTAGCAACTCTGAATGTTTTCTCTCTCTATTTAAACTCTATTTTTTCTCCATATTTAAACTTTATAAACCTATCTAAATTTACCTTTCAAAAAAAAAAAAATCTAAATTTAATAAAATTATTTTTTCTTCATTATCCTATATTTTCCTCATACCTAAACTCTACCATTTTTTTTTCTCTCTCCTGAACTTTACAATCTTTCTCTAAAAATTTGAAATAATATTGTTTTTAGTTCATTATTGCTTGTTTATATTGATTTTTATTTTTCTATGAATTTTTCATCCCTAACTTTCTCTAATTCTCCCTAAATACATGAACAAAGTAAATTTTTCATCGTCAAATTTTAGTATATGTTTCATAATATTCATATAAATACTATATATTTTGATTTTGATTTTTTTTAATGTTTATATTCGTAATATATATATATATATATATATATATACTTTAAACAACAGGTTACTACGAACAATGAACTACTGTTCGCAACAACAATTTGGGGTTGCAAACAGTAGCACCTTGTTGTTCGCAGTCTCAAATTGCTATTGCAAATAATAGTTCTTTGCGTGATGCCTAACAATATATGAAGTATAATATATATATATATATATATATATATATATATATATATATATATATATATATATTATTAATATTAGATTTTAATTTTTTTATTTTATGGAACTTGTAATTATATTTTTAAATATTTTATTTGATCAATTCTTTTATTATAAATTTTATTGTTCAATATTGTAATAAATTTATAATGAAATAGTTTTTTTTTTTTTTTTTTTTTTTTTTTGTTGATGTTTATTGATGATATATATAAGTAATTAGCATATAAGTCTCAGCATACTATCGATAAAAATAATAATGTTGAGAATGTTGTTGTGAGTGAAGAACTATATAATAAGAAGAATTTTATGATATATTATAAATGTTTTGTAAGAAAATTATAAATGATAAAGAATCAAAATTATTGAAAATTTGTAAGGATGTATTCAATTTAGAATTTCAATGACTTTTGTAGACTTTTTAATATAAAAAGTTGATAAAAGTCTATGAATGTTTTTTATATAGACTTTTATAGAGTCTTATAAAGTTTTAAAAAAGTTTTGAACGACTCTATGAAAGTCAATCAAAGTTTATTAATATCTATCATTTTAAAAGTCTTTAAAACTCTACAAAAGTCATGATTGAATACACCCCCTTTAATATTACTACAATTATTGCTTCTACAATTTCATCCCTTTAAGAAATTACTTATATAGTACTCTAATATATAATATCTATATATTATTGCCATTGTAGAAGATAAGAAAATATATGATGGATGCATGTGTATGGCAACAATTAGTTGAAAAAGATAATGGAGGTTATATATATATATATATATATATATATATATATATATATATATATATATATATATATATATATATATATATATATATATATATAAAGTTCCTGTGCGGTTGTGCGGTTAAATTTGAGCCATTGATCTTGCTTAAATCAACGTATAAGATTACTAAAATTTAAAAAAAAAATGCAGTGACAATTTAATAATTTTTGCATCTAGGTCAAATTTAAGGTGTGTGATTTTTGTGCTTAAGATGTGTGGTTTGTGTGTTTAAGGTGAATAGTTGTTGAAATTTAAGGTGCGTGGTTTTTCTTCTTAAGGTGCATTATTTTTCTTCTTAAGGAGCGTGATTTGTATGCTTAAGGTGTGTGAGTTGTTGAAACTTAAGGTGCGTCACTTTAAAACCTTAGGTGCGTGGTTTGTGTTCTTATGGTGCATGGGTTGTGTACTTAAGATGCGTCGGTTTAAAGCTTTAGGTACGCGTGGTTTGTATTCTTAAGATGCTTTGTTTGTGTTTTTAAGGTGCGTGATTTATGTACTTAAGGTGTGCCATTTTAATGAACGGTAAAGTAGCTTACTTGGTTAATATACTCTCAAAGCCCTAAAAGCCCTCAAAGGCCAATTAGAAGAGAATCAAGAGTATCATTGATTTCCTCAAGATAAGATTTTTCCCCAAGGTGTTTATTGTAATCAAATTTATTCTCAAAGAAATTTCGCATGCCAACATCTATGCTCAATTGCAAAGTATTTCGCGGAAAATTAATCTAAGATTTATCCATGTATATACATCTAGGATTAAAAAAAAGAAAAGGAAAATGACTTAACACTTAGAAATGAATAGACCAAAATGTCTTTGTATTTAATGTTATTTAAATAGTTTTATTTATCATCTTCGAATAGAGGACAATCTGAATGGTCACGAAGAGTAATGGTTCCGAAGAGTTCAAAGCCTGTGTTACAATTGCTTGAGACTAATCAATTTCAACGTCACTTGGGAGTTTAGCGTGGATCCGAGGTTCCATTATCTTCCGGTTTCACTTCTGTGTCGAGGACCTATTCGGTTGTCTTCTCGAGTTGTTGCCATTCGAGTACCTCAACTTTACCCGTCAGGAAGTTACTTCTCGATCCCATTCTGAATCGGCTTGCAACTAGCAAAAAACTCCTTTCGCACCGCTAGGATTAGTTGGCTCGCATGCACGACATCCAACTTCTATTCAACAACTTCTAGGATCCATTCTTTCATTAGTTTCATCAGCTTGACCACCAAGAAAGTTCTATTTTTTCTCCACTGTGCCCATCTATTTTACGAGGGATTCAATCACTTTCGGTTAAACGTTCTCATCTGATCATGTATGTATATATATAAATATAAATGTAAAAATGGTGGAATAAAAATAAGATATATAACAAAAGTTAGATTGGATCTCTTGTGCGCACATGAAGACTAAGATATGACCGGTGGGCTAATATCACGACTCTCGATTTACCTCTGCAGTGACTCTAAGGGCGGGGAAAAAGAGAGTCATGGAAAGTTGAGTAATGGCTTCAGATGAAACTATACTAACAATCCTATTGCAATTCACAAAGAATCTCACATCAATTATAAGTTGCAAGAAAGCCACAACAAAATGAAGTTGCTAAAAGAAGAAATAGAACTCTTGAGGTAGTCGAGCTCTTTTAGCAAACAAGAGTTATTGGCTAATTATTGATGATTCTTAGCCTTTAAGGATTCATGCTCTTTCTACAACCGCATTCAACAATCTTCTTGATTGCACTTCGGGAAACATCTTTTATAAGAGGAATTAAGTGTTTTTTGAGCTCAGCTGAACACTTCATAATTTTGTATAAAGTGTTGGCTGAATATCGTTTTGAGAAACGAATAAAGAGATTTCATAACGAGAAGAAAATAAGAATTTTGAGCCTTGAGAATGGGATGACCGAGCTGATTGGGGTGGTTGGTGGCTGGTCTGTCTGGGCTGACCTGGAACTGCTGACAGGTTGGACAGCTTTGCGCGTAGTCAGCACATTCCTTGGTTGTGATTGGCCATGGTGACATTAGGGCCTTGTTTAACATCCCTTATTACTCTTAAAACTCTTAAAACCCTCAAAACCCTTTGGATGGCGTTTGGTTGGAGAGGGGGAATTACGTGGGAAAGGAATTGCAATTCCATGGGAGATGAACTACTGAGAATAAAGTGGGAACTTAAATTCCAGTGTTTGGTTTACATGAAGAGAATTACTGGGAATTTCAATTCCAATGCTTGGTATACATGGGAATTGAAAGGGAATAAGTAGTATAAAGTCAAAAATGTTCATTGTTGTTGTTAGGCATTAATTTTAGGTTAAAAAATGAAGGGGTAATTTTGACTTATCACTATCTTTTTTTCTTCCTAAAATCCCAGGAATTAAAATCTCAGGGGGGACATGAGATTTTAATTCCATGAAAATGGGGGAATTGCAATTCCTTTCAACCAAACAAGGGAATTTTGTGGCCTTTGGAATTAGGTGGGAATTAAGTGGTAAGGGAATTTAAATTCCCTTCAACCAAACGCCCTGTAAAACTCTCAAAAGCCCTCATAACCATCGTGTCTCATCCACTGCCTTTTGGGTTTCTCATATTCTGTTGTCTTTATTGATGATTTCTCTAAGTGAACTTGGGTCTTTTTAATGAAGAACCGTTTTGAATTATTGATCCATAAGGGAATTTTAGTTTTTGTATTCTGTGATATCCTTGGTTGAATTTAAGTGCGATAACAACATGATTTTTGAGCGAAACGCGCTTTCTTTCTCCTGGAACTTCTTCTTCCTTGAAACACTCTCCCCGGCCATTTTGATGGCTACTGCAAAGGAAAGAAACCAGCCTTCGTTGGACAAGCATATGGAGTCCATCTTGTTTGTTGAAATGAATTATTCATATTACTTTGATTTTACTCTCTCAGTCCCGAAATGAATGTCCTATTTACTTTTTACACGCATTTTTGGGAATCAACAAAAGAGATACAAGTTTTCCAATTTTAACCTTGGGTAAGAGGTGCTGCCCAATGAACTATTTACTTTTTAGTTTTTACACGCATTAAGAATGAGATGAGGGGATGAGTTTGCATTTACTCCGTAAAAAAAATGCTGCAGTGATGCGATTGAAGAAGAAGAAGTACCGAATGGATGGGATTGACACATTTCTCTATAAAATTATAAAGTATTATTATATTATAATTTTTTTAATCCACAAGGTTAGTTTAGAAAAAAAAAAAAAAGTTAGTAGTGTTTATTTTAATAAAGTAGACAATATTTTGGAACATACTAAAAAAAAAAAAATAAGACAAGTAAAATGTGACGAAGAAAATAATATTTTTATTATTATTATTTGTCCCATTTTACCCTCTATTATATCATTTACTTTTCTTAAATAATCAAAGCTCACTGTTCTGTGCTTGTGTATTAGGCAATGGATAGAGCATAGAAGCATGAAGACGTCATAAAAAGCTAAAGGCAGTTAGGCCATGCTATGCACTCCACTAGCTGAGCTGTTGCCGTAAACTTGGAAGGAATTTGTGAGTTTTTATTGTAAAAAAACAATGAGGATCAGTCATCAGACCTTGTTTGATAATTACATTTATTCCAATTATTTTATAGCTTCTGGTAACATTTTAAGTAGTGCAACTCGTGTACAGGCGCGTCAAAGACTCAAACATCCTATTCCTAGCAGAGGAATTCTTAGTATTGCCCTAAAAAGAAGCTGTCTAAATTTCAAAATGGCGTCGCCCGGACTTGAACCGGAGACCTTCAGTGTGTTAGACTGACGTGATAACCAACTACACCACGACACCATTGTTGTTAACATTCTTCGTATATTATATTCATTCTATAATATTTTCAAACCAATAGTAATACACATCATTAAAGTAGTAGGCATGTTATCTTTGAAAATTTTTAGGGTTCAAAACTTCTGAAGTACCAACAATTGTTTGAATTGGCTAAGAGCAATCTAACTTGGTTTACCTCCATATAATCTTTTATCAATTAAGAGTGTTTGTGTTAGTTAATTATGAACAATTAATAAAAAAAAAATATGATAATTTAATTTTAAATGTTACTTGTAATACACTAAATGAAAGACCTGAAAAAAAAATTTTGATTTAACATACAACAAACACTTAGATATATGTTTATAGTTAACTTAAAACATTCAATGGAAGATTTGAATGAAGGTGTATGAAATTCAAAATTTTAATATACTCCTACTGCTGCATATTAAGGCAAATATAGATAAATATTAAGCTTCTTTGATATCCTAGTTTAGGAGGGGCCAACACAAGCAATACAACACATACTATCATTACATATATCTATCTTTATATATATATATATAGCTAAATACAGAGCAGCATTGCTTACAACGTTGTGGAATTGTCTGGTGCAGTATCTCCTCCAATGTTTCCACAAAGTTGAGGAAGACCCCAAGACAGATTCTCTAATGACCTCTCTTCATCAGACATAGACAAGTACTCCTTCCACACATCAAGCACTAGCCTAAGGTCATGAATCTTGTTTTCCAAACCAACACAGCAATTCGCGTGGACTGTGATAACGGCATCAACGTCGTCACTAAGCTGGCAGAATCCACTATAGAACTTTGTGTCCAAGAACTTTATTTGCAGCCCAAGTGCGGTGCTGATGTAGGGGTGAAACTTTATTCTGTTAAGTACATCTTGGTCGTGGCTGCCTGGGAAGAAATCTTTTGCGTTGTACCAGAATTTATAGAACTGGATCGTGCGCCTGCTTGACTTTACGTAATTAAATCCTCCGTTGGGCAGGTTGTTCAGGTCCGATGAGTTGGAGTAGAAATGGTCACAGGCAATTTGGAACTCAGCATCTTTGTGGAAATGCAAAAATGGATTCCGAAGCCACATTATATCAGCGTCCTACACGAGAGGAGAAAAGCAATATGTTAAAACTTGAAATCAGAGTAGATGGTTAGCTAGTTAGTATGCGCTTCCTACAAATGATCATAGTCATAAGATCCTACTGATTACATGAAATATATCTATAGTTTCAAATCTCGAAAATTCCACTTCAAAAATACCCAACAAAAAAGAAGAACTGCTAGGTTGTGTTAAAACTATCCTAATATCGATTACATAACAGAAAAGTCTATTCAGGTGCATCCAAGTAAAGAGGCATGATAAAATGACTTGGCATACCGTAAAAACAAAGTTGTATCCCTTCTCCAAAACCGTTCTAAGAAAATCAATCCTTGCCCACATCATTTCCAAATACCGTGAACTCATAAAATAAGCTTCACCAGTAAAATTCATGCCATTTGTATGAAGAGCATAGCAGTATGGGTGTACTTCCAAACAACGAGAATAGGCTTTTTGGTCTAGAGCCACCACAAGTAGGTGATTCAAAAGATTGCGTGTTTGATTCCCAATTCCAAAGCTCTCTAGAAAGAGATCAAAAACAGAGTTTGGAGATGTCCATGCTGCATTTAAAGTTGTAATGATAACAGTTCTATCACCAAAAGCTGTCTTTTTCAATAATTTCTCCAAGTCATTGCCTTCCCCTGCCTTGCATGCGCAAAAATAAGGCCCATAATTAGACTGATAGAAGAGCAAGCATGCCACTATTGAACTTTCGTTAAGCTACTATAAAGGACTAATATACTTAAACTTTATTCAGAACACATTTCATTCTCACTTTTGGAAGTGTTTTACAATGGCAAGTTCATCTGTTCATGATGAATCTAATGTAAAAGTGGTAATACCAAACTCCTTTTGTAAAAGATTCCTATTTTAGATCAATTAATGAGCTAAAGAGTTGAACAATTCCAATTTTTCTTAAAGAGTATACACCATCAACGGGTAAAAGCGCTCATATATGTAATACAATCTGAAAAGGGGGAAAATTCCATAGAAGTAAGGACCCCAGAGAAAATCCTAATGAAATGATCCTAGAAACTAAAGACAGTACTTAAAATGTTCATAATTCCAGGGCCGGTGAAACTTTTTGCTTTTCTAGTTGCTACCATAATAAAATGCCTCATCCATCAAAGTTTACCAGTTAGCCTTTGACACTAAAACAGTGAAGAATGGAAACCTCCACATGCTTTGCACTTCAAATGCATATCTAGAACACAATTACACAAGATCGTAATTCAAACAAATTCAAGTTCTGAGGCCAGGAATTTGTGGAAGTACACCTAGCAGGCTAGCATTCTGTATAAACCACAAAATAGAAAGCTATAATTAAAGAAGGATACATTACTTACCATTGAGTATAGATCGCCGTGAGCCTCATTTGGCGAATATACATGACCAAGAGAACTTGGAGACAAATGTATATAGTATGACCAGTGATAAAGTACAAGAGTGGAAAGGCTAACAGCACAGAATATGAGCACAAGCAAAAGAACTTCATAAGGTAAGTGATGAAAATGGTGAGTCTTATGGTGGTGGTGGTGGTGAGTTTGGTACCCATCAGACTCACCCAAAGTCTCAAAAGCCTTTCTACCATAGCTTCCACTCCCCAAGTTCATCATCTCCAAACGCTGAATTTTGGGCATAACCCAGACCTCTCAGTAAGGCGCATTAACCAGTTTAAACTATATCATCATAAGAACATGACTGAAGAGAGCAGGGGAGAGCACACCAGCCGAATACTCAGCTCGGTTTCAGACGACAATGCTGGACCTCAGCTCCGTACCTGGAATTTTACACTCTAGCAAGCTCAGACTGAGCAGTTTAACGCCTATAAATTCTACCATGAGCAAAAAAATTCACCAAGAAGATCAAACTTCAGACCACACTAACACGTGGGAAGTTCAAACTAGTCGACAAGCATAGCAGTCCCCACTGGGCCATTTCGTCGAACAGGTGGCATGCATAATTTCACACACAGAAAAAAAAACTCAACAGCCGAAAAAGTAGAAATCTACATAGAATACCGGAGAGAATAGGGGCAGAGCAAGAAGGAGAATCTCCGATCCAGTGTCGGTGGCGGTCGGCGAGGCGTTTCTTCTGCAGTTGATTACGGTTCACAGCACGAGAATGGCGCCTAAAAAGGACCGTTCCGGGGCCTTTTGTCTTGGATACTTTGAATCCTTACATTGTGATTTGTGAAGGGGGGGAATCATCAATCCCAATCGTACTTTTAATCACCCGTACGTAAATCACGCTGTAAATGATTATGTTCTCGATTGTTCATATTTTTAGGCACCGTCCTCTTTTTGACTGAGGATTAATAAAGGGAAGTTTTATTTGCACCACCCTATTTACTATTTGCACCCACCTATTTAATAGGTCAAATAAATGGTGCAAATACCAAAGTAGGTGGTGCAAATAAATGTAGTCAAAGTAGGTGGTAACATTTATTATTTATTATTTTTTAACAATAAACATTAAAAAAAAAAATGATCGCCTTTTTTTTTTTTAATTATTTGTGTAATTATTTTTAAAATTTTTATTTTCAATACATATGTTTTTAAATTTTATTTTCAATACTTGTTTTTTTTGTTCAATATAATTTTTTTAACTTTCTATTTTCAATACTTGTTTTTGTTTATGGTTTAATTTTTAAATTCAAAATAATGATTAATTTTGTTATTTTAATATTTTTTATAACTTAAATTTGTTGTATTCATTATTTTATCTTTTTTTATAGAGATATAATAAATAAAATTTGAATCGCTAAAAATTGTAAAAATATATTAACTTCACAATAAAAATAAAATAAAAAATAAATTCATTCAATTTCAATCTAATATAACATTTTCCCGAGTACAATTAGAGCGTACATGCTCATTGTAACTTTCAATCCTATTCATATATGGAGTCATCCATGCATTTGCACAATCATATCTAAAATAAGCCCATTGTGGAGCAATTGTAGGCATTGGGTACCCTCCTGTCAATGTTACCTTGACATAATGGTTATTATTAACATAACCAAGGGTTATTGCTACATGCTCGTACCAAGGTGGTGGGCTAGATCGAAGTGGTAAATATGTTGTACTGCCGGCCATACTCAAAACATGTAGTATCACATTGTATCGGGAAGCAATTAGTACACCCATCTCCGGCATAGTCATCCAGTGCTCAACTGGTGCACACCGATCTTGTGCAAAAAAATTCAACATGTTATAGGCATTATACCATCCTTGAGTTCCACACATATCGGTATATTCCATTGTGTGAGACTCTAGTTCTTCGATTAAATTGGATCGAATTTTGAACCATTCGTCCTCCTTAAAACCGAGACAGAGAGCTACGGCTCGAAATCCACAGTTTCCGTCAGATTTCACATCTTGCACTTGCATGATAAAAGGATGGAATATAACCGGAAGTTGAAGCATATATGGATGGTAAAAGTGTCTATCACCTGAAGTTGGTGCAGCTGAACAACTATTCCGAGCTTGTTCTTGAAATTGAATATTATTTGGCTCGGCTTTAGTTTTTCTGAGAGATAGAGTTCTTATGAGAGATTTGTTTTTTGAAGTGGGACGCCCACGAACATTTATTTGCACGGGTGGCTCACGGATCGAAGTTGTAGATGGCGCGATCAACTCCCTCAACTTTCTCAATATGTTGAATTTACCGGTTCTTGATTGTTTCTTGAACTGATCCTTAAACATATGAAGCTCATGCTCAACACCAAAATCTTCATTGGTTAGAGAGATGGAAGATGATAAGTCGAGCTTCCTCCAAAAGATATCAATCGAATCAAGTGGGATAGGCTTACCACAGTTAAAATATGTTACCTGCTCGTGTGCACATGGAAGCCCGCAACTTGTTCGCAATCGACATCCACAATTTTCAAAAGTAATCCCGCCAGCCCGTGACCTCTCAAACTCATTAAAAATGAGATTCAGTGCATGAATAGACACAAATCCTCGCAATTCTTGAAAATGTGACGTGTTGAACCGATGTCGAATCAAAATTTTGCTTTGTTCAAGACTTGCTTTGATGGATGTGTCCTGTGACTGAATGACTCTGTCGATATAAACCAATGATGTCTCCAAATCTGACTGCGATGACTCCAAGTATTTTTTTAACTTGGCATGCTGACTCTCAACTCTGTTCGTGGTGTGATTTCCAAAATTGAGATATCGATCAGTCCAAACAGATACAAACATTTCTTTATAGGGTTGCAGCCAATTATCATCAATATAACCAAAAACACCTGAAAATGTGAATAATTGAAGAAATAATTACAGTAGTTGAACAAATATGCCTTGTTAAAAAAAATATTAAAATATACATCGAATAATACCTGGAAAGTCAACCAAAACTGCTTGTATTTGAGCTAAATGGAACATATATGATTCATGAGTCTGAGACTCAACTAATGCGTTCCATGATTTGTAGAATAAATCCCAATGATGGTTTGAGGGGATCGATGCCCTGCACTTTCTCAAAATACTTCTATAGATGTGCCATCTACAAAGTAATCCTTTAGCATCCGGATACACATTTTTACATGCTTTCATCAATGCCAACTCTCGATCCGTGACGATAACACGCGGGGTAATGCATCCCTCAATTGTGGCTTTGAGACAATTTAATGCCCAAGTATAATTGGACTCATTCTCTTTGTGCATGAAGGCGAACGCTATGCAAAATGTCATGTTGGTCGAAGTTACACCAACCATTTCGACGAGAGGCATCGAGTACCTATTTGTCTTATAGGTTGCATCTATCAACAGGACATGTGGAAATGCACGCCACTTCTCCATAGATTTAGGATGAACGAAGAATAAATCTTCTAACTCATCTGTTGCATTATTAGTTCGACTCTCATGCACATAACCATTGTTATGTAAAAAAGACATAACAACTTGCATTTGAGTTTTACCTGCATTATCCATCATCCGGAATTTTTGGCGTGCATTGTATATGGTTTTTGTGATGGAAACATTATCCGGATTTTGCATCTTCACCGACGTTAAAATATCTCGTGGTTTCACATGCATCGCTGACAAATTTTCCACCAATTCGACTTCATTTCCTGATAATCGCCTTGCATAAGGGTGACCTTCAAGGTGCAATGCAGGCTCATGATTATGGACTCCGCATATTACCCTAACCCTCCAGCAACCATCAACACGTATGTATTTCCCCTCCAATTGGAATGGACAATCAATTTTTCTTGTACCCGTGTTTTTAGATGAGATTTTTTTTTGCACGTAAGTACCACCACGGTCACACTGAAATATAACTGTAGGACTTTTATTCCGGGACCTTTTAATCACAATAACATAACCGAGATCCCGACCTCTACTTTGAACCCATTCAATTAAATCTTCGCGAGACATGAATGCCTAATAAAAAAATTATTTGTATCAATAATAAAAATACCTAATTAATTAATTATAATCATAAGTATACGTACTAATTAATAATCATAATAATAATTACATGCATGTATACCAACAAATTAAAAAAAACAAACAAACAAAAACAAAAACAGAAATTAAGTATACGTACTAATTAATAATAATAATAATAATAATAATAATAATAATAATAATAATATTAATAATTACATGCTTACAATAATAATAAGTATGCGTATGAATTTTGTTTACCGTTTCTGTAGACAATTCGCATGCAACCTCGAGATTTAGGTTCACTTGATCATCATCTTTAGTTCTATTGTCATCATAAATTTCGATTGCATTTTCGTCCTAAACAAACAAACAAATAACAACTCTTAATATATAAAGACAAAATAATATATTCAATATTGATATATTAAAGCAATGAATTTCTAATCAAAAATAAATATACATATCTAAATTTCTAAATAATATATAAAAGCAATGAATATATAAATAATACGTAATATTCAATTTACTAAGTTCACACACACACACATATATATCTATATATATATATATATATATGAAATTAATGAACATATATGAAAGCAATGAACTTAAATTTCTAAATAATATATGAAAGCAATGAACTTAAATTTTTAAATAATATATAAAAGCAATGAACAAATATACATAAGTTCAATTGTAACATTTCAGTAACAATTCAAATAAAAAAAAAATTAAAATACCTCGTAATGTTGTTGATTTTGATTTGGACCATTGTAACTAAGAAATTGGCTTTGATTTTGATCGTTGTAGCTAAACAAATTATCTATCCAACCGTCCATCACACACACACGAATTTTGATTTTGATTTTGATTGTATGACATGTACATCACACACACACACCACATATATATAGAGCCATTTAAGTCTTTTGGATTCCTTGCCATTCATTCTACACGTAATTTCATTTCACTAACAACAATATTAACTAAAAAATATGAATTGAAATTGTAAATTTACAAAATATATGTATTAAAATTATCAAGTTCAAAAAACTATCTATTGAAATCATAAATTTAAAATAAACATATATCGAAAAACAAAAAAAATGGACCAGGAAGGCAAGGAGGCAGAAAAAAAAAAAAATGGCTGCTGGCTGCTCCGTGTTTTTTTTTTTTTTTTTTTTTTTTTTTTTTTTAAATTACATTTTGACCTCATAATTGTAAATTTAATAGGGTGGTGCAAATAGCATTTTGACCACCCATTAGGCTATTTGCACCACCCATATTTACTACCTTTTTACATTTTCAAAGTGCTTTATACCTCATTTTAGTCAATGGATGGTGCAAATAGCAACACCCTTAATAAAATGTAAGACACAAGAATAATTGTATGAGTTGGTTCTCGGAGGGATACTTTGTGAAGAGATAAATCTTACTCTATATAATAACAAAATGTTTTTTGCCAATTAATTTCCCGCCTAAATGAAATTGCATCATTTTAAGGTATTAAATACTAATTAAATGAAATTGTATCATTTTAAGGTATATAATGCAGCATACTTATCTATTTTCAATACATGTTAATCTACAATTATTGTTATTTAATGATGAAGCAGGTAATACATTCCAGTATTTTTAAGTTAACATTTTATTATATAAATTAATTTATTGTTAAGTAGGTTTTATTTTTTCTTTCATGTCATTGAAATATTTCATATTTAGTTTAGATTTATATATGTTGTACGTATATAATTATTATTATTAAGCAATGTTTAAGAAAAGATTTTCGTAGTTAATTTCAATGTATGATGATGATACTGTATTTTTTATTTATATATTGTCAAGTATATGTACTATAGGCTTTAGTTGAAAATCATATTAAT